GAAGAAAGAAAAGAGTGACTTGCACTGGAGCCATGTGTTACCTGAAGGCAAGGCACTAGAGAGTGAAGGGTGGAGGGATGCTTCCTCTGTGAGCAGGGGACAAGGACAAGGAAGTGGTTATAAAGGTTACAGTTTGCATGTTAGTCTACCAGAAAATCAACAGCAAGGAAGCACACTTGTTAAAAATGTTAAAGTCAGCTTCACTTACTGTAGCTCCAGTTTAAAACAATCATGTGAACACTGTTTTTGTAAGATGATACTTTGGCACTGAGTCACAGATGTCTGCCAGTTTTCTGTTAAATTTGAGAAGCCAGTATTAAAGTAATGTTTTCTCAAGACATGTCTACTGTCATTCTGTAGACATTTGAGTCATTTATGAAAGTGTGCCCTTGTCTCTTGGCACAGCAGAATAAATACTACTTCCTCAGAGACACAGACAGATGAGTTTGAGGATCATAGACATGTCTTCAAAATGTGGTAAGATCTGTTGAATTAACTTTTTATTTGTTATCAATTTCTGTGGCTCATTTCTGTGACTCCTTGTCATTATGCCAAAAATATCACATCAAAGCAACGGTCCAAACAGAATGCTCAAACTGCATTTACAGTACAGCTTCACCACAACATTTCCTACGCAGCACTACAGTATCTCAGTATGCTGCATGCAAACTGTTCATCAGTGAGAGAAAGTAATGCTAAAATACTTAAGTATTTAGTAAACAGCATCAACACTAAAATATGCACGATTTCCATTTGAAGACCAAGTAGAAATATAGTACCGTCTGAAGAAAAACAGTTATAGAAAATATGAAATCGAGTTAATATGAACCATTCTTGGAATTTAAGGCAAGTACTGTGTCCACTGACCTAGTGTGCAGCACATTTGAATACAGCATGTAGGTTATGTGGTGACAAAGCTAATCCAACATTATCATAAGAAAATGAAACAACACACAAATATTTTAAAACTGATTATTTAGCACATTTTAATCCATCTACTTCAACAGTTTTTCTCAAGTAATATTTACTTTAAAGGTTTTTAATGGGTAATATTCCAGTATAGGGCTGATTCTTTAATTGAAGTAAATGGTTTGTACCAGCACTGCTCAGTATCTGAGTGTACCTAAAACAGTGAGACGTGCTGAGGCTGAGTCCTGGTCGATCTCAGATTTAGCAGTGCAGGTGTATGTTCCGTCATCTCCTTCATTCACGCTGGGGATGGTCAGTGACTCATCGTCCTTCTTCAGCCTGGGAGACACAGACAAATGAGTGGATGTTATTGTCTGTAGTATACATCATTATAGCCTTCCTGACTTTACCTATTCCAGTTATGACATCAACTGAGTCCATTAAAATTGAAAAATGTACAGAGTGTATAGAGGACTTTAATCCATACTGTACCATAGTCTGATAACAACAAAGACTCTCAAAGATTTAAAATACTAATAGGTACAAGTTTATTAAAAGGACCATGGCATGCTTTTCCTTGTTTTCTGACTTATCTACAATGTTACAATGGTGAATTATCATCTTAGACGTGACCTAAAACTCAGAAAATGAGGTGTGCCTATGTTGTAGTATTTTTATGCAGAAGCAATTTGGTTTATACACGTCTTGCAAACTCTCACTCGTGAGACTTTTTTTCTAACAAAATAAAATATTACGTGATAGTTTAAGGATTTCCTTAAGTGGGCATAATCTCCAGGCAGTTGCACGTTCATGTGAGCTTGCCTGACATCCACCACCAGTGCCCCAACCATATTGGCAAAATGTTATACTGCCTCTTTTGTTATGTATATTTTCAATAAAAAAAAAAAACGTTTTTTTTTTTTTTTTAAAGGCATCCCCTGGTGCCATTGTAAAAGCTGAATTTTTTGACTGCACCTAGTTTTGTGAATATATTTCACTTCCTGCTGCTGTAGTGTGACCAGAGGATGTGGAGAAAATTACAGGGCCTGAGGTTACTGAATGTCCAGGGACTTGCTGTTTTACCTGACTGGGCCTAAACTACAACAGCTGGCATGTGAAGTGTTCCCGCGGTGGTGAATGATCAGTTCATCAACTCTGGATTCTTCCGGAGCACAGTGCCTTTTAGTTTTGACTGCTTGAGGCCAGTGTGTTTGCTGCATGTGATGTGTTGCGAGTTAACAAGCAGATTAATGACCCATAATGTTATTTTCAGCACTACGCTACTTGTTGTAATTAATTTCACTACTTTAGGACTGTATGTGGTCATGTGGGGGAAGATGTAGCGACCACCAGTGGATTTACCGACCTTGGAGCTACTTGAAAGGGAGTGATGCTTCCACTACTCGGTGGGACTTAATGGTAAATTAAAAAAAAAAACACACGTTGCATGTCATTTACTGTATTGCTTCTATAGAGAATTGTGGTAAGGCTGGAGAAGTTACTATGTCTGCATTATGCCAGGTAAAATGATGTTTCTCAATTACCCACTTTGTTTAGAGTGTTACACATGTCTTTTCATTGGTATATATACCATTCTTTACCCCTCTATGGAGGAGAAATTCAATTGAGGGGAAACACATCTCAATGGGGAAACAAATTTCGACAACACCAGAAGCAAGAGGTGTGCCTGTTCATGAACTATCTTGTTTATAGGAAGAAGTTCTCTGGTTTTATCATTCTGAAATAATTACAAACAATTTGGAGTTATGAGGGGTGCCAAGCTAATCTAGAGGTACCTGTTAGGTATTTTTAGTCAGATAGATATTGGATAGATACTTTATGTATTAGAAATGTTTAGTGGAGATAGGATGTCTAGTTAGACTGTTAAATGCTTAGGCATGATTATGAGTTTCTACAGGGTACTTCTGGTCAAGGATACCAGAGAGAAGAGTTGATGACTGTCAGCAGACAGGGTGTTTAATATTATTATTACGACATGTATAACTGTAGCCTTAGCCATAATATGTTCTTATGTTTAAGCCACGACATGTACTAGAGGTAAGATACCTGAGCGTGTAATGTTAATTTTACCCGTGATCCTTTGAATAAATCAGCACTGTTTTGAAGTTACTTGGACTGCCTCGTCTCTCAGAGTTAGCAATGGTAAGACGAACCATATCCTACATACCCAAGATTAAATAATAATAATAATCACTTTTATTTGGCCAAGTATGCTACACACAAGGAATTCTGGTACAGAACTGAGGCAGCCATCTGCGGCGTCAACTTACACCGATGGCTCTAACCATCGGGGGCAACTTGGGGGGTCAGTGTCTTGCGCAAGGACATTTCGATATGTGGACTGCAGGCACCGAGATTCGAACCTCCAACCCTCTAGTTTAAACGTTAAATGACTGGAACAAAATGAGCAGGCTACGGGGACTTTAATATTAACAAAATTTTATAAGTGTAACTAGAGAAATGCGTGTGGATGCTGATAAGCTGAAAGATCATCCTGAAAATGCCTGAAATCAATTGCTGAAACAGCTCAAAGATGAGAAGAAATGGCCAAAGTATTTTGTTGAAATAGTTGAGAAGAAATGGCTGAAGTTCTTTGTTGAATAATCTGAAAGATGAGATGCAATAAAGTAGGACTGGTCTTGAAGAGCTGAACATTTTCATACCTGAATGGCTTTTCTAGCTGAAGGTATGCTGAACTTATTAATAAAATGCTGAACATTTCAATGGTCCAAAAGTTTCAAAATAAAGCAACATATTTCAAAGGTATGAAGTATAAAAAAATTCTCAATAGAAGCATGAATGTCCTTGAAGAGCTTAACATTTTGATAGCTGAAGGTATGCTGAAGTAGAATTTCTCCATTGATTTGAATGGGGCAAGATTTGTTGAAAAATGCTAAATATATCAAAAAGTATAAATGTTACAAACAAGAAAAATATAACCACACGTCCTTAAAAAGCTGAAGATTTTGATACCTCAGTGGCTTTTGTAGCTGAACGTATGCTTAACTTATTAAGAAGTGAAATTATTCCCAAAAGGTAGGTAATACAAGTAGGGTTGTGTGTTTGTGTGTGTGTGTGTGTGTGTGTGTGTGTGTGTGTGTGTGTGTGTGTATGAGAATGAAAGCATAGTCCTACACCCTGAGGATTACTAGGGCATCGCTATTGAAATGAGGCATAAAATATAAACAATAATTATACAAAAACTGTAAAAGATATCAAAAAGCTGTGTACATTATGAATAGCTGAAGAGTTGCTGAATAGATAACAGTTGAAATGGTGTTTTTAGCTAAAGGTATGCTGAAGTGATTAAGATGTGAACATTTTTCCCATTCATTTGAATGGGGCAAAACTTGTTGAAGAATGCTAAATAGTTGAAAAAGTATAAATGTTACAAACAACAAAAATACAAGCACATGTCTCCTTAAAAAGCTGAACATTTTGATACATCAATGGCTAAAAGTATGCTGAAAGAATTAAGCACCAAAAAACATACAGATGAAATGAGAATAATAACTAGAGAAATGCATTTACTGCCGAAAATGCGTGTGGATGCGAATTGCTGAAAGATTGCCCTGAATATGCTGAAGACTTTGACACTTGAATGGTTTTGCTAGGTGAAAGTATGCTGAAGTAGAATTTCCTCATTCTTTTGAATGGTGCAAAACTTTCACAATAAAGCTACATATTGAAGAAGTATGGAGTTTAGAAAGGTTCTGAATAGAAGCATGAATGTCCTCGAAGAGCTGAACATTTTAAAAGCTGAAAGTATTCTGAGCTAGAATTTCCCCATTCATTTGAATGGTGCAAAACTTTCAAAATAAAGCTACATATTTCAAAAGTATGAAGTTTAGAAACATTCTGAATAGAAGCATGAATGTCCTTGAAGAGCTGAACATGTTGATACCTGAAATAGTCCAACGTATGC